TTACTGCAAAATAACAATATTGGAAAACTTACAATACATATTGTTCAAGAAAGCCTGCCATACATAGTTTCTACTAATAGTAGATGTATTCTGATAAACAAACACTCCTTACTATGCACATGACATTTGGCATAATCTTTTAAATGAAAGGCCAACAATAACTCATATTATGAACTGTCTGGATGGCAGTAACTGTAACTTTTCTTACTACTTTTCTATTTGCCACTAACCTGAAAGGCCACAGTAATGTGAAACAAAAAAAATAAGGTGGAAGACAATAAATTATACTCCTTCAGAAGGTCTTATATTTAAGAATGGTGTGTAGTGGGAGACGAGAAAGAGAGAAGATGATTTACAAATTAAGTATACTTTGTAGGAAATATTTTAAAGTTAATTTTCTCATAAAGAAAATAGAATTGGCTTGTCATTATTTAATTATTATAAAGAAATTGAGAATATTTAGCTTAATAGTTGGAAGCACTTAAATAATTGAATTTGAACATTTACCATTCAATCAATGAGCCAATTTTATTTCCCTAAAGACAGTAACCTATATACTGTCCAAATAAAAAAGCCTAAACCATTTTGAGCAAATAATTCAAGTCATATCATTGTCTTTTCTCATTTTAATTTTTCTACAAAGTTACTTGAGTTAGCAATTCATGAATCATTTAATAATAAATACTTCTTTAAACCTGTACAACTGAATCAAAAGTGAAAATCAGTTTCAAACAACAATATGCTAAAGTACCAGACAAAAGCAAAGTGCTAAAATTTTTCCTATGCATTCAAGTCTAAAGTCATGTCTATAATCAACATAATCAGTCCAAAGACTGCTAACAGACCGATCTGTTATTTTTTTTCATGTCAAAAACTAAAATCAATTTTTCTTCAATCAATTTGATCATTAATACATGATCAGATGACTAAAAATATGGGTCGGCTATGACCCATACCTGCAGCATGTAATAGTGTCAAAATGAACACAGATTATGATACAATAGAACTTCACTAAGTCAGAAGAACTTCAATAAAAAGTATGAAAATTAGGATTTTTTTTAAAGAAGTACATTTCCATTCTGTTCAAAAGATACATATTCTTATTTGAATTAGATCAAGTGTTGTCTAGTACAGGGACTGCCGATCAAATGATAATGCTTTGTGGTTAGAATATTATTTATATGTAAACATAAATAATATTTGCTCTTAAAGTGCTTAAAAAGTTTCTTCTCTTAAGGTTAACATTAATTATCCTTATGTTTTTGTGTATATAGGTTTTTCTCATAAACATCTTCCTTCATATAGAATACAAAAGTTAAGTCCAATTCAGTGCTTATCTTAATAATCACAAATTCTGAACTAGTTTTGTTCAAGTTAATGAAGTTTTACATTTTCCTAATGTTTTTTTAAAAAAAGAAATACTGGTCATTATTTCCTGGAGAGGGGAAAGGGAAGGGGCTGATGGTGGAGATTCATACAAGAAAGGCATTACTAAAAGTATAAAATTTGGTGTATTTGAAGGAATACTATTTAATATTTTCATTTTTAAAAATACATAGAATTTATTCTAATCTACAAAAGCCTTGTGAAATAATTAGATGACTAAGACTCTATCAAAAATATATTTTAGTCAATTGATGATCACACAGTATAGGTTTAAAACCCTGAAGTGTCAATTTGAAATTTAAAATTAAATAGCATATTAACATTACTAACCACATTAAATAATTCTACTATATACCATATTTTCCAGCTAACTATTTCCTATTAAATTATGCCTGTAAGAGATGATTAAGTTTTCAAGAAGTATTTATTCTACTATGAATATCATGAATTGCTAACATTAAATTTACCCTTCACTCCCAGTTCAAGGACACCAGGCCAGCCACCAATCCTTAAACAGTGATGTTTCACATACTTCACAGAGTAGCTTAAAACACACCATCATATGAAATAATTAGTATTACATAGTAATTTTCTTGTCATAAGAATAAATGTTGGACAAAGTCTGGAAACTTTTTTTTTTCCAATTTGAATTACAGTAATTTTGCCACAGACCACAGCACTAATGCATGTGTTAATTCAGACATGCTCTAATTTATAATCAGAACAAAACTCAAAAAAATTAGTTGCAAAAATACATGTCACCAATGTGGAACACACTCAGATTTGTATAAAAGTACTGAACTAATATCCCAAAAAGAGGCATATGTAAACAGTACATAAGGAAGGAATAGTTTTAATATGAAACAGTCATTTAAGTCACATACATCATGATAAGAAGCAGGACTTTCTTTTATAAAAGATAACATTTTGACTAGCAGGCAACATCATCTATATAACATGAAAAGTACTGGTAAGTGAAGATAAAGTCGTTTAAATATAACTACAGATAGTGTTATTAACAAGAATGAGAAAAAAAGGGACATTTTTGTAAAAACTTCAACTTTTGAAGTCCTTCTTATGAATGACCTTTACATCAAAATAGCTTATTCAATACCCTCCCTTCTATCTTTTAAGACAGGATCCTCTGTCCCAAAAGTCCCCCCACCCCACCCCACATCCAGTAGAAGGGACCATTTATCTATCACTGGACAATTAGACAGAAAAAGCATGCCACTCAGGTGGCCAGATGATATTGGATGGGGTTGAAGTAGACAAGTAAAGCCTGAAAATACTTAGAAACATAAAAGAACCTGTGGGTTCAGAAGACTGGGAAAAGAAGTTTTAAAAAGAAAGAATTGTTAGGAAAACTGACCCCAGGCTATTTATTCCAAAATACCTTATCACCATAGCTCACATTGCCTAATTTTATTTTTCCATTTCAATCTGTTAACACTCCTCGAGATCCCACCAATTAAGAGATTCATTTGGGTTAACAAGCATTCTATACTTCTAGGAAGGTTTGGTAGCTATTAGACATTGACACTTAGAGTAGATTAAGTAAATGAGCCATAGCCATTGATTAGCAATTTCTGCACCCAATGTGTTGTGGCAGGGAAGAGGTAGAAGGAAGGAAAAGATGAGTGGTCAGGCTGGGGGAAGAGCTCAACAGGCATATATGTGGCCAAGATGTCAGTGTCCTGAAATGGTTATGGGTTCAGCAACAAGCTTATTTCCTCTTAGTTGAAACAACTATACTAAGGAAATGGGAGTTTTGATTAGATGGGAGATTGGTAACAGAGAACTTTGGGGTAGGGCAGGGCTGAGATATGATGCTATGGAGTAGTGGTTAGGGCAGCATGAGGGAATCAGCACAGAGGGCCAATAGGTGTGCTGGGAATGCAGAAACAAAAGTACAAAGGCAATAAAAGACAAAACTTTATTTACTTAAAAATTCTGCCTAAGGCTGACCCTGTACCAGAAAAGGGGTAGGAAGGACCCTGTCTTTCTCTTCCCATGTCCTCCCTCCTCTGTGGGCCATGGAACTCCTGCCTCAAAAACCCAGAGCTCAGGTTGCACTGTAATTCAGCTACAATATAAGTTAATTAACTAGGCTTTTATGGGCTAGCTTGAAAACCTAACCACTATTTATAAGTATTGTTTCTAAGGCAAAATATGTTTTGAATTCCAAACAACTTAATACATTTTTTAATATACCCCACCTTTAACTTAAGGGACTTGCCTGTATCCTTTAAATTAAAAAAAAAAATCTAAAATTGTATAGATTTTTTCCATGCCTTTATACACTAGCAAAAGAAATCCAAAGCCTCTTCAGCTGCCTTCAAAAATAATCATTGCTTATATATTATTTCAATATTCATTATAAAATAGTTAACATAGTGAAGGGTATTGTACGCATCAGCCCTTTTAATGTGTGCAAGACAGACAAGTTTAAAATATTATTAGATGAAGACTCTTGACACTTCTTTCACCTGGGATTAAAATCAATAGGTTGCAAGGTTAAAGCACACTGGAAGGAGGTCATTCTATCAAGGCAATGCTGGGAGCCTTAAAAAAATACTGGATTTCTTTATGTACTATTTTATTATCTATGCAGAACAATCACTAGCCAAGAAAATGTCCAGTTTTATTTACACAAGTATTCTAATTTTGACAGTTAACTCTTTAGAAATGCTTTTAAATATCACACAACTTAAAAATCAGGACAGATCTAATTCTAACCACTCTAACTGATAAGCACCATTTATTTTCCTGTACAAACTAAGCTAATTCTATACTAGTGAATCTGCAACATTTTATAACCAGCATAATAGGAACTCTCCAGTGATATATCAAGACAAAACCTCATGGTAAGTTCTGATAGAGGAATTGCCACTATGAAAATTTCCATTAGTAACACAGCCTTTTTGAAAGACCTCCTAACATTTTAGCCAGGTGGAACATTGGCAAGGCTTCCAAGACTGGATAGAAAAATTCTTAAGATTTTCTGCTCAAAATTTTTTTCTTGTGACAAAAGAAGCCTTTCAAGAATGAAAAGAGGACTGCACCAGAGAAAGAGCTGTGATGCTGGAGAATTAATATACCTTTGTGCAAGTCCTTTCATTACAAATTTTCATACTTCTAGGGCAGTCTACCACTGTCCCAATAAAATCATATCCATATGTTTGATTAATTCAACCCCCTTTTGGTCAAACTGAGCCAGGCAATTAGTATTTGGCAATAGCTTGTCTTCCCCAAGAACAGTTAAGTGTAGGAACACTCTAAAAGTACCACTGAGCTAAATATACAAAAACATTCAACTATTAATATACAATTCAGATATGGTAAGTACATTGTCAGAATCAAGTACATGTGGTTTTCATTTCAATATTTACAAGATAATATTTACTAATGTTGTTGCAAGCCTAAATATTTGAACGAAAACCCTCTTGATGCAAATACATAACTTCTATTTGAAAATGGAACATGAGAGAAGACTGTTACAAACCAAGTATCTTCAAATTTGCTTGGGAGAGGTAAATTTATTTCACTTTCATAGAAATAGCTGGCTGCACATTATAAAAGGTAGCATAATTCTTCTAAGCAGAGAGCTAAAGAAAATGCAGGATCAATTTAAGCACAGAATACAACTCAAGTACTATTGTGCAGAATGTTAAGTGGACTCCTGAGAACAAACACTGAAATGCTCTATTCACAGTAACTATCCAGCTCTGTACATTAAACACAAAAGCAGAAGAAATCATGATCTCACTCTAAGAATAAGAATACAGCATGCAATGAATCATTTTAAAAACTATTCACAAGAAATCAAAAGAAATTGTAGTTGGCTAAGTTGATTGCTTAAAAGTTTACAGCAATTACGTATTTCCAACAAAAATACAATGTAGACAAACTAGGGCTTTCACATATTACTTACTACCAAGTGGTAGGAAGACAGAAAAAAACAGATTATAGTTTAACCTGCTTTATTAAGTGCTAATTTTCACAAAATGCTACTACCCAGGTATGGAGTTCATTTATTTTTAAACTTCCCAAAAATGTGCAGATGTTGTATTTACCACAGCTTTTGAGGATTTTTCAATACTTACCTCTAATTAAAGTCAAACAGAAAAAACTGACTAGAACTGAGTTCCTACTATTTATATGTATAACATCTTCCTACCTACAACATACGTACATATGCACTGACAAGGAATATTTGCAAATGTGAAGGTAACTAAAATTGAGATAGCTGGAAAAATCTGGTATTCTCTTAAAAATTTATAAAACCTTAGTGTTTCCCATTTGTGTTTCACTTACACAAAAATATTCTTAAAACAAGCTAAAAGGACCCTTACAATAGGGGATACTAAACTCAGTATTTTATATGGTGCTTTCAAAGTTCAGCATTTTGGTACAGTTTATTCATTAAAATATACATTTGGATTCACTGATTATTTTTTTTTTACAGTTATAACCTGTATATGACCAATTTAAATTTTAGCAGATTGTTTTGAAGATTAAAGAGGCTTTTATATTTCCTTACAAAATTTACAACAGTACTGAAGCTAAATATTGTAAAAACTAAAGGATAAAGTAACTGATTTTGTTTTGTTTCTGTAATGTGAAATTTTAAGATCCTATGCAATAACTATGAAAAAACTGTGCTAAAAAACTACTGATTACCCATCAGAGCCCACTGCAGGTGGTCCAAAAGTTTCTCTAGTGCGCATTAACTGGACATCTTTTTCAGCCATGCAGGTATCACAACCCCATACTGCTGAAGCTTCTGCAGTCAGGAGGCCATAAGCAGTTTCAGTCATCCCTGTACAGATCCGGTGGAACCATTTCTGGCATGAGGCCTCACATAAGATGGCATCCTGATCATCATTCACTTCATTTGTACAAATGCCACAAGGATATACTGGGTCTGAAGATGAATGGCCATGTCGACTTGGGTGGAGAGTGGTTTTGTTGCTCTTTTCAGAATTACACCCATCAGCTGTGACTCTGGACTGACGGGGCTTATTCTGAGTTCCATTTGCATGGCTGCTGTTTGCATTATCAGTGCTGTTGGAACGGTTGCTTTCTTGATTTACTGTATTGTTTCGACTAACATTTTTCAAGTCAATATTACCCTGGTTTACAGTTTCATCCATATTGAGATGAGGGGGATGGGCAGAAGAATTCTGATTAGTGCTTTTAGTTGCTCCTTGACTAAAGTCTTGTTTTTGTGGGGGTGCTTTTGCTTGGCCAAAGGTGTTTGGTGGAGGGATAAATGAATGATTTGATTCTAATGGGGAGGTAAAATTTGGATTATTTCCAGGGACAAAATTAGATGCCAAGTCTGGATTGGATACTTGGCTGGCATTCTGTGGAGGAATCTGATTGAAGTTTTCAGCAGGATTTTGTCTAAAATGTTGATTAGACATACTAACATTCTGATTTAGTGGACTATTATATGCTGGATTTCCAAAACCTGAATTATCATGTGGCCCAAAGTTAAAAGCATGAGGTCGATTAAAACCAATACCTAAAGGATTTTGAGGAAATGGGTGTGGCTGGTTCCTAAGCGAATAAGGACCACAGTATGGGGATGACATTCTTGGGGGTACATGAGGTGGCATTCTGAATGAGCCGTAGCCTCCAAATCCAGGGTAACCAGGGCTAAGATATGGATTTGATGAAGGTAGAGGCTTGTAGGAAATGGTATTATAGTTGTCATCAAATGGATTAGCTGCTACTAGATGGTCAGCATTTGGATTTGGTGGTGGGGCATATTCAGACAGTGGAGGAAAAGAAGGCCCCTGAAATGAGAATGAAAAGTAAAATATACATTTATGAACAAAAGACTCTAAAATAAATTAACTTTTCATCATAGCACCAAATGACATTTTTCTAGTCAGTTTTTTTGTACTCCTGTTATAGAAAATATAATCCCTTCCCTTTGTAACTGTAATTTTACATTTCATAATCTTTTATTTGCATTTCACAACCATTTTTTCTTTAAAAAATACCCACGAAAAAGGTACTAAATTTAAATCAATCTTCATGTAATACTAGAGAAGTATATGTAATTTTCCTAAGAGATTGCATAATTTACATTTACTGTTATTACTTACAAATCTAGGAAATAGTTCATTTAAAATACAAAAGATTCTAATTAAAACACTTATTAATCTCTGAATAACCATAAAATGACAAGATTAGAAGTAGATTTGAAATATTTTCTTAGATTCATTTCAGAAAGGAGTTGCTAAAACAAGGCATTTCAGTGCCATATTGGAAAAACAAATTTACTGAATCAGTCACACTGCAAGTTCCATAATTAATAGTGGTTTTAGTAGGGGAAAAAAAGCATCTCTATACATACTGTATTATCAACAGTCTTCCATTATAAAAAGAATGCTTCAATCTAATCTATAGGGAATAAAATGATATGAAAACCTAAGTCTTCAACTATATATCTTCAACAGCATATTATATAAGCAAAGGATGCTTACCCTATTACTTTGTGTATATATGATTTCCATAACACCTAATTATTATAATAGGTTACTTTAAAATTATTTCAAATGAAACCTTCCCAATATACATTTAAAAATATTATTTTAGCTGAACTACAGATGTTATTAGGATGATGTTAGGCATTGTTAGACTTGAAAGCAGCAAAGACTTAGTAATATATGGCATGGGATTTTTCAATGACTTCCAAGGTTTCCTGTCTTCAGTTCTACTTGCCTAAATTTACATCTGTAGGACACAAAAAGTAATTCTATGAAAAGTGAAAAATTTATTCAAGGAAGAATCACGATAGGACCTGAAAAATGGTGGAAGTATTTATATCCAATTTCCTTTCTAATTGAAAACCTTATCAAACCAAAAAGGGAAAATGAAAATAAAAAAATTTTAAATGGCAATTTACCTGGGTATTTGTCTTCCGCTTTTTCTTATCTGGGCTTCCAAGTTGCACACCTGGTCCTCCTAACCCATCCAGTCCACTGTCACCACCTACAAAGTTTAAATTCAGATACGTTTTCCATTTATAAGTGAATATAATTATACCAGTCACATCAGAGAAACTTGTTTTTTATTCTAGCAAGATGAAATTAACAAAGGAAGGAGCACTTAACTTTTGTTATCTTTAGAACAATATAAAAGCTCATTAGCTTTACATCAGAATATTCTCAAATAAGGTCACATTAACATGAAAAGTACTAATTAAGTTTCTATGCTCTCAAGTTGGTTTTTTTTAAGAGACTTACTCTAGTTCTACCTACCATAAAATTGCTATCAAAATGAATTTGAATATTAACCAAAAGTTCTAGCTTCATCTGGTCTGACTGCTCTATGTACAGCCCACCCCCCCAAAAAACCATACACAAACCATAATCACAAAAATTGAAACTTCTGATTCGAAGCAAACCTTCTGCTTCAGTTTACATATTCTGCATCTCATTTTCTGGACTTTATCATCATGATTTAGCTACTTTCTCCCACCACACCTAAGAGTTCCTTGTCCTAATGGGGAGTTTTTCCTGGAACCTCCATTTTGGGGAAGGTCTCAGACTAGCCATCCTTCATTAGCCGGACTTCACCACTTGGCTGACTTCTCTTTTCATCGCTGGGGCCCCTTTCTCCTATTGTTAAGTTCTTCCCAGCATTTCTACTTTGGACAAGAGCCCAAATCTGCCATTCCTCATTCTCTGGACCATGTAAGTAACACTACTCCCACTTTTCACATCCCTTTAAATGTGTTGTCTTCTCCAGTTAGATTATAAGTTCCTGGTAGGCACAAACCATCTTTCTTTTTACTTGTATTTGTATACCCAGCAGTTAGTACAGTGATACTTAATAGCAGTTATCACACAAGTAGTTAACAAATATTTGTTGACTGACAAGCTAGTGAATGTTCATATCTGTGACTAAAGAGTTCCAAAGAGATATGGTAAGCTTGCCCTATGTACATAATCTTAATAGTATGATGATACAGTAATAATAAAACTGTTAAAAGACACACAGGTAGAAAAACACAGCTACAAGTTCTGTTGCACAAAGCCAGCTCAGTGTCTAGGAGACTAAATCAATCACTAGGCAGGGGTTCTTAATCTTTTTTGTGTCCTAGATCTTTTTGACTGTCTGGTGCAGCCCTTCTCAGAGTAATGCTTTTAAATCACGGAAGGGAATGCTAAATTTCCATTAGATATTAATAAAAACAAAGATAATTTTTCCCCGTGCAAATTCTCACCGCAGACCTTCTGAAATCTATCAACTCCAGGTTAAGAACTCCTGCACTAAAATTATAAAGAGCACATATTTGGTTGTTGTGAAGAAGAAATATGAGAAGACACCCCCACTTCATCTCTTTGCAGAGACAGGAGGTCCACATGTATTGTGTATTGCATATTCTTAGACTTTCTCAATGTATATTGATACACTGAAAAAGTGTGCAATTATGCTGATTTTTTTTACCTTTGTTTTTGTCTTTAAAAATACTATTTGTTATATGGATGGGCTCTCTGAGAGCGGAAAGGCAAGAATACTGGTGAAAGCTATAGTGATAGAAAAAAAGAACAAGATATAAATAAAATTAGATTAAAATAAAAAAGAACACCTGCAACATTCTTGATGACTATTTTCTCAATAATGTTATAAAGAGGAATCTTGGTCAAGTATGGGTTGGGCTAAATGATCTTTGGAGTCCTTCACAACTCTCAGACCCTGAGATTCCGTCTGTCTTTTCCCCAAAGTCACAGAGTACATTAGGGGAACTCTAAAGATGCACCTGATATTACTGAGATTCATGAGGTTCTCCTAAGTAATGTAGGCCACTGTATTTTTTAAAATTCAAATACAATTTTTAACTTACAAAGGGAATTTCACTTATAAGTAGAATATTATGTAGCCCTTCCCAAAAGTCCTACTCTGATGCTTCATCATAGTATAGTGGTTTCTCAAAGATTACATCAGAGGAACAAAAGTGTGGCAAGTTCTACCGTGACAGAAAGACTTCAGATAAAGTTCTAGCAAGAGACTATGTCTACTTTCTAAGAGGTAACCTAGTTAATCAATCCACCTATTGAAAAGCATAATTAAGTACCTAATATGTTTTAGGCACTGTCCTAAGTGCAGAGAAGCTCAACACCAGTAGAGTGACCACTGGGTCCTGAATTCTTTCACCATGGCAACTCACAAAATAAAATTAAAAATGCCCTCACTTTTGTATTTCTACTTCTCCAGTGACAGTGACTGAGTGGCAGAAAAGGGGATGCTACAAATAACACTAATTGACATACTACTGGAGGAATTAAGTCATATCAATTTGGACATGAAAACACTATTTAAAAAAACCCCAGAAGACAAAAAGAAGGGGCACCTGTATGGAAATATTCTCCCTGGAGAGGCTAGTAATAGGAGGAGGAGGAGGATTAAGTTAACATTTACATATCACTTTTAAGTATTTTTTTACAAGTATTAATTTTTATCAGACAAAGAAAGAGTCCTTAAAAGTAAAAATGCTAATGTGTAAGCCAGTCTCTATTTTTGGGGGGGAGGGTAGGCAATGGGGTTAAGTGACTTGCCCAGGGTCACACAGCTAGTAAGTGTTATGTGTCTGAGGTCAAATTTGAACTCAGGTCCTCCTGAATCCAGAGCCAGTGCTCCATCCACTGCGCCACCTAGCTGCCCCCAGTCTCTACTTTTTAACCTATATGTTCAACCATACAGTGCATTCTTAAAATCATAGCTAAATACATTCCAATAGAAGCACATACAAATATTTCACCCTAATTTATACTTTTATGTTCATTACTGCTGACTACAGAATCAGATGATACTCTATCAGATAACCAAAAAAGTGAAAAAAAGCAAAAACATGCACAAGCAATTTTATTTCCACTTCCTCATGTGTAAAATGGGAATGTTAATATTATAGTACCTGTCTCACAGGGATGTTTTAAGAAGGCTCAAATAAATGCTTTGGGCAGGGAGATAGTATAGTGGAAAGAGGGCTGTATTTCAAGTTAGAGGACTTGGGGTTTAATCCTGCCTTTCCTGCTTATAAACTGTGTCTTCTTAAGTGAGTCATTTTACTTCTCTGACCTATTTCCTCATCTGTAGCAGGGAGGGTTAGACTGGATCATCTCAGGTCATTTCCAACTTTAAATTTGTTATGTTATGAAAATACTTTCACTTTTTCACAAAGAAAAATTCTTTCTGCTAACTGTAAGGAACAAAGAGGAGAGGATAATATGCTCCCTTAATGGTCACTGTCTAACCTCCCTAACTTCAGCACTTAATTACTATAATTAGGCATACATTAAAACTCTGACATTTAGGATCCAACTTCTAACTGTCAAGCATGCTGTGAGCAAACCTGCCTAAAGTCCATTTGAGAAACACAGTTACATGAATTAAATTACTATTCCACAGAGTCTACCAACTCCTTCCATAGAAAATCTCTACTCTAAATCCTCAATTTAGCAAACATTTTGCAATTATTGTGTAATCTTCCCAGCTACCAACAATGGAGAGGTCAGCTGAACACCCTGAGATTCCCCTCCACAATGAAATCAGTGAGGGATGGCTGAGGGCTTCTGGTCACTATGGCTTAGCTATAGAAGAACCCTTCAGGCATTTCTTCCAGTTTTTGGAAATGAGATCCAGGTAGTTGTCTGGTTTTAATTCCTTCTTTCCCTCCTCCCCTCAACCCATGCCACAATATAAAGGTGGGAAATGTAGTATTAACCAACTCCTATCAAAGCTAGAGTGCATGTTCATCTAATGACTTGTTCCCTTGACATCTGCTATAAACACAAGTTGAACTTGTTTCTAGAACTGAAGTCAATTCAGTTCAACTTAAATATTTATTAAGTATCTATTAAGGCATTGTAGTAGGTGCTTAATACTTTCCTACCATTCCACAGCAGTAGCTAGGAGTTTAGATATTTAGTAAAGAATTAAGGCGGGTTGCTAGGATATTGGCTGCTGGCTCCATTTGTAATCTCCAAATGTAATCTCTGCTTATTTCCTAGGCTCCCCTTGCCTCCTAAAGAGACTCCCTTAGGTTAGAATATTCTTAGGAATAGGAGAAAACAGTGCCAATATTATGTAGGTGAGGTTTTTCTAGCATCAAGGCAGATAATTTCTATATATAATTCTATTAAACTGACAAACCCTAACTCTAAAAGACATAACAACTACATTCACTTGAATTTTATTCTTCAACCTTCACCTACTTACTAGAAATTCACTCTCTGGGGGCAGTTAGGTGGTACAGTGGATAGAGCACTGGCCCTGGATTCAGGAGCACCTGAGTTCAAATCTGGCCTCAGACACATATGACACTTACTAGCTGTGTAACCCTGAGCAAGTCACTTAATCCCACTGCCTAGCCAAAAAAAAAAAGATATTAGAAATTCATTCTCTTTCTCTCTTCTTTAGTTTATTAAAGGAGACACTGGACTGTTAAGCTATGTAAGAAGTACAATACAGTGAGCAAATACAAGTCAGTCCTCTATTAAATTGAAGAGGATAGTTAAATAGTAGAACCACATTAATTCATACCTTACTAATCCAGGATTTGTGATATGCCATATTCGATTTTTATTAATACTTCCAAATTATTCCAAATAATTAATTACTATGACAGAAGGTAACCCTTAGCATAGTTCACCTGTCTAGGTCTTAAGTTTGCTTCTAAGAAAAAGCAGTTGCTGAGTTGTCTGCCTGTACAATTCATCTGTCTAGGCCGAAGGGCGGGGAGCCCACAGCCTCGTTTGGCCATTTGATCGAGTCCAAGTTTTACAGAACAAATCCTTTTATTAAGTCTGTGAAGCCTCTAGGGCATAGGTCTTCTTAGAGTTCAAAGAGAAGTAGTTACTGAGTTAAGTCTGACTCATAGTTCTGAGATGGTAGTTGCTCATTTGCATATGACAAGCAGTAAGACATTAGAGTGAATGGAGAATACAGTCTGCTTCAGTGATTTGTATATGAAGAACAGAAGTTCTGGG